TAACAAATTTCGTCAGAACTCGGCAGAACAGAAGATGCGACATGCAAATAAATTAACGGATACCAACTCCCCTGGGTTCATTTTATGTTCTTCATGAAAAGAACGTAACCACCAGCAAAGTGCTCTTCGTCCTGAAGCGATTCGGTGCATAACAACCAAACACTTTACATCTGTCGGGCAAATGATATCGTCAATGGGGCGTTGTTGATTTTGTGTCACCTTTGTTATTGGTCAGTCAGTGACTGTAATCCCCAAGTGTCATACTCAGCGTGACAGCACGCGCTGTCTGCCTGCTAACTTTACAACGGCGATTCTAAACTTACCATCCGTGTTTATCTAAGACTATAGCACTCACTGCGCACGAGACAAACTTAGCAAGCTTTGGATCACAGTGAAGACGATTCTGTGCTTTTTCGATTCACAAAAATGATTGGTGTTAATTAATATAAAGGAGAACGATATAACAATATTCTTACGATTTAAAGGTAATGTTGCCCATGTGCATAATTAAGTACCACGCAATCAAGACGTAGAATGTTAGACTATTAAATAGTATGAAGTCTAATCGTTCGGAACCCCAAAGAGCACCACAACAAAGACGAATAATTTTAATACTCACTGTCAACAGCCCTGTATCACTATATGAATAAATAATATAAGTGAATGAGACATCATTGACAAGCAGGTAATAAATAAGCCTGCTGCTCGGCGCTGTATTCAGAAAAACACAGATATTGTGCGTAGACCACCACAAATCAATAGATCACTGCCGACTGCATTGTGTTTTTTATATCTGCTTGAATAGAGTTTTACTAATATTAAATACAGAACGTGATTTTACTCAATTATCTGGAAAATATAACTGCATATGCATCAGTAAGCATCGACATCCATTTTCCGTATGGATACACGCACGATTATTCATGTCGATGAATAAATTACGAACATATGGAAGTAGAGACCGTCTTCTTCCAGTTAAGTTACTTTCCTCATTTTACAAGGAAGAATAGGTTTATGGCATCATGCCAGCGTTCTCACGCGTCTTCGATAACGTCTGACCCAATGAGGCCCAATTGATATTCATGAAATTGGCACGTATTTCATGTCATTGAAGAGAACCCAACATTTTCACTGTTTATTTTCCTGCCATCAGTAATACCAACATAACGCTGTGATAACGCCTGAGATGGATTATACTTCTTCTGTCCCTTCATTAGTGCCATTGGAATCCTGAATTGTAAAACAGTATCAGGTCTTTAAAAATGTGTAACTTTCTTATGGTAATGATGATTTCTGTCTTCTGGGTTGTTGCGCTGTGTGGTATGGTCGATGAATCGCCCTGATGACGGAGGCAGTATGACCTCTGAAACGTTGGTAAACATCGACCAGACTACAAAGCGCAATAACCCAGAAGACAGAAATCTTCATACTAAGAATCGCCCTGATGACGGAGGCAGTATGACCTCTGAAACATTGGTTAACATCGACCAGACTACACAGCGCAACAACCCAGAAGACAGAAATCTTCATACAAAGAATCGCCCTGATGACGGAGGCAGTATGACCTCTGAAACGTTGGTTAACATCGACCAGACTACACAGCGCAACAACCCAGAAGACAGAAATCTTCATACAAAGAATCGCCCTGATGACGGAGGCAGTATGACCTCTGAAACGTTGGTAAACATCGACCAGACTACACAGCGCAACAACCCAGAAGACAGAAATCTTCATACTAAGAATCGCCCTGATGACGGAGGCAGTATGACCTCTGAAACGTTGGTTAACATCGACCAGACTACACAGCGCAACAACCCAGAAGACAGAAATCTTCATACTCACTCACCGCTGTGAAAACCTCAAATCTTACATTTATTATGGTACTTTTTTGATTTCGCAAAACAAGTTACAAAATGTACGCATTGGGTAACGATTCTGGTGCATTTGCCAGAATGTGACACTAACCTTGGAATAACGCCTGTGACGTCAGAGTGTGGGAGGGAATTCACCAGGTAATCGTAGCAACCACAGAGAAGAAGGTAAGCATGAATTCATTTAAACGGGATCATCGGCTTATTTGGATACAATAAATGTTCATGTTAAAGCCTGGTGTTTAATTTGTGGGGTAGAGTTAAAGGGCACATTCTTTCGGTGACATGTTGGCAAATAATACGACAAACACTCGAAGTTATTGCAATAAACAAGTCAACACACTTCCCTACTGACACTTTATGTATTCGCATAATTCATGATATGTGAAGATTATATTAGAGGTATTTCTGTATATAGAACTGAATTGGATTAGGAAATGTTCCAGAGGAACAAGAAAATTTTGACATCTTTACGACGATTAAATTTTGGTTCATTTCCCTATCACCTCATAAACTAAGCAAGAATAGTGGTCAGGGGGCATGGACAATGATCCGAACCTGGCAAAGTCGTTACTTCCGCAGAGTTGCCTCACAAACAGATGGCCGTCAGAAATTGGTTTAAAAGACGAAATCAGAACAATGGTCGGCCAAATTGCCGGGACAGATGCGAGGGAGTGACCACCACTCCATCACGTCACTGTGAGCTGTATTGTTTGGTCCAATGGCTCCCTACTGACCAGTACTTGACCACTGACCACTTGCAGACAGGTCCTAGTCATGCGATATACAATCATTATTTTCTTGGTAGGATTGACTTTTTTTTCACTGAGAGAACAAATTCATTAAAGCATTTCCGAGACTTTATAGGCTCCATTTTCAACTCCGCCTAACTTTGGGCTTACTGTGTCCATCTAAACCCCTGAAAGAACGTTGTAATAGATGAACACCTTTCCGGCAAATATAGTCGTCTCTTATTAAAATTTAATCTAATAAAAGCTCATTTTAGACCACGTTTAACATGAGCTACTACTGTACATTAAAATTTCAATTGCATATTCCGAGAGGCTATATTCGAGATACGGAAATGAACATAAGCTTCTTTCTTTCAGACATTAGCTTATATTATTTCAGTGCAAAAGGACAGCAGTTGAATACAAGTAAAACCAAATGTCCCTATTATTGAAACATCAACCATAGACAGATAAACCAATAGTACATCTATCACCCATAAACCAATCAATCGCGATTGGATTTGATTTCAATTGGTTCATTCAAAGGCCAAGAATGGATTATCTTCAAAATTAGAAAGAGACAAATCGGAAAGTCATTTGTCAACTGTCTTCTTCGTAACGCACGCACGCGTTCGCCAAGGGAGGTCTTCCGTCCGACACCAGAATGCGCCATGATGGCGGTCAACAAATGATGCGCGACGAGCGTTTTGAACAGGTTCGACAGTTGCAGGAAACAGAAGCCTGGATTCGCGAACAAGTGCAATGCAGACTTTACGACAATGATTTAAACAACGCTACAAATATGTAGAACGTTCAGTCAATTATCAGACTACCAATGAAAGCATCGCCTTGAAGCAGGAAAATTTGTGAGGCCGTAAATATCAAACCAACAACCAACCAGCCAGCATTTTTTTAAAATTTGTTTAAAACCTAAAACATCATTCATACAGCTGTTTAACCCACCAATATCTCTTAAATTCACATCAAACGCGCTACTGCGAACAAGCTCCTTCAACATACTACGCATTACAGAGAAACCCCACAGGGCTTCGTAAGGGGCGTTGAAATCCTTAGGACTTGTTTTCTACCAGGATTAAACCGTGCAAAAATTCCGCGTAGGGGGTATTTAAATAGGTTTCCGACCCATTAAAACGGCAAGTAAGCGTAAATTAATTCCGAAGTGTCGTCGTATCCATTGTGATATCTCGGTAATGCAGGGAGCTTCGTCAAGGAGTTGAGTGAATGAATTTCTTCTTGCGGGAAACTTGCCAGATGTCGAAAAAGGGGCAGGTGGCTGTTGAGATATGGGTAATATATCGATATCAAACCGTTACTGGGAAATTCCTAATCGTAGCTAGCGGACTTAGAATGAACCCTACGAATCAGAAGATCAACTGGTTAATGCTGTTTAGGGAAATAATCCCTCTTCAGAGTGAGAATTAACGAAACCCGTAAATAATATTATCCTTCAACCTACAATTACATCTCCAAAGTGATTCCTTCCTTCAGGTTTTGAAACTAAACACATTTATACTTTTTCTCACTTCGTGCGTGACACGGCTCACCAGCACAGAAGACCACCATCTACGATCACATCGTCTCCAGAGAGAGTCAAGTATTTCTGAGCAAATGAAATACAAAATCTCTTTAGTGAGTGTATGTCGTCATATTTCGTGTCTGGAAAACCTAACTTGTTAGTTTAATGCCTGATGCTCTAGGCATTGCTGTTTCCAGTTAAATATAAAAAGTGTTTTAAATAAAAGTTACAGAAAATGGCTGCCTCATGGGTTGTTGGGCAGTAGAGTCTGGTAAAAGTTTGCAGACGTTTCAGAGATGCTTGCTACCTCATTCACAAACACACGATTCCGTAGCACTGATTTAAAGCAAAGAAATAATATACATCCCTATTTTTTTGTTTCAGCTTAAATATTTTCGCACAGCCATTGTGAAAATTTTCAATCGACATACCAGGGAAATTTTTTTATTCCATTTCGATACGTGGATATCACAATAAGCAAATCCATCATTTATAGCCTATTCCTGTGCAAAAAATATTATAATGATCAGAGTGGGGCAATGATGGGCGATGCATACAGCGCATATGAGGGAGATGAGAAATTAGTAAACATTTTGGTTGCAAAATCTTAAGAGGAGAGACAACTCAGAAGACCTAGGCATAAATGGGAGATTTTTTTTAAAAACCTATATTAAGGAAATGTGATGGGAAGATGAGAACTAGACTAATGTGGATCAGGATAGGGACCGGTGGTGCGCATTAATGGATGTTCAGATTCCATAAAAGACGTGGAATATCTTTACTAGCTGAGCACCAGTCAGCGTCTGAAGGAATATTACATGGAGTTGGGTAGTTAACAGAGTAGGTACTATAAAATGTGTATCACCATTAAAATCCCCGTTTATTTATTTATTATTTTATGACTAAGGTAGCCTTACTTTATGTCACGTACAAAAAATCACAATTTGTTAAAGTTGGTATCATTAATATCTAGATATCGCTGCGGACGAGATTAATTTCTTTTACGTGCAGTTTCGTAGCCGCGGACCATGCTTTATATACCACATCTCTACACAGAACGAATTAGGATTGGTCAGCAGCTTAATAGAAACACACACACGCTAATACAGTTCATACATTTATCTGACTGTTCTATAAGATTTTTTCCTGATAACAGCATAATAGCATTCGAATAAAGAATAAAAAATAAGGCCGCGCATGCGCGTGTGAAAACCCCAGACCCTGCAGACCTCATTAGAAGCGTGTTTGTGAAGTAACATAATGTTTTAAAAGTGCAGGACTTCCCCCTCGAAGCTAGTATTAAAAAGTCTCATTTAAAAGTTTGAAATGTCGAATGATGAATCGTACAAACAGAGACAAGTGAGTCGCGCGACATTCTGCCGATCCGTCACGGCGCTCAAAATGACGTGATGGCGTTCGCCCTACACAACTCCTGCCTGCATCAGACGTAACTGTGTGCTTTCAAGAGGAAGGACTTTGTTATGAGCATTCTGTTCAACCAAGGATCCTTCCAAAATGTGATAAGAGCGGAACAGAGTTTCAAAATGCTTCTTTTGTGATTATATTACACAAAGCGGACCATAAGTAGCACGCCATTATAATTGTATAATTTCATTTGATTTCTTTGTTTCTAAACAGAATTTTGAAAACAATACGGAATGACCGAAGTCCTCTAGAATGGCCGCCGAGGCAATTTGATTCACACAACTATATTTCTCTTTCCTATGGGGGCAATTTCAATTCTGCTGTGTTCAAGATCCACCAAAGAACATATTTTAGTCCAGACCTAGATGAAAGATACCACTTGGCAAAGAAATGTGGTTAATATTAAAACCGATGTCAAAAACAGGATTTGAGGTGTAGACTGGATTAATCTGGCACAGGGTAGGATCCAGTAGCAGCTACTGCGACCAAAACAATGCACGGCGGAGGAATCACTGATCAGCCGAGTGTAAATACATATTTAGCTTCTTAAGGACCCTATACCAGTGCAAAAATGAACGACATTTTCAACGGGATATCTAATTAGTAAGACGGAAAATGTTAAAACTTATTCAGAAATTCAACATTAGCCAAGTGATTGCTTTCAACTAAAATTGGGTGTGATACCGCTGGGAATTAACAAAGGAGCAGGGGAAGACATTGCTATCCATCCGCTCATGGCTGTGCAGACACAAAAAGATGGATCCCTCCATCAACATCTCTATCCAAACTGTAGCGATTTATCAATTTGACAAGGCGATGTGGGGGGATAGTTTTTTGTTATAAACTTATGGCATACAAATACTCGAGACAGGAACATGTTGTGGTATTGGTAATACCGCTCTCAAACAGACAGGTAATCAATTTCCCATATTCCCACGAGCAGTTCGTGGCGAGCGGCTAGACACAATTGAGATATGTCTGTATATTTCGTTAATTTCAAAGCAAAGGAAACAAGAAAAATCTTATCTGAATCATTGTCGCTTAAAGTTTAACCGGAAACATTAATTTCTGTGTTCTACGATTCAACACAAGAATGAACTACACAACACAGCAAGGGAGGGTGTTTTCCTCGGGGACCAAATGGGGCTATCTCGAAGTGACCACGGGCCGAAGCAATTCGCAAGAAAAATTCTGTATTTACGCTCCGTCTATTCGACGAAAGTAGTTTCGTCGTACTTTGTATAGACATTATGGAAGTAAAATTCCTGTATGTTCAACGAGATCTCTCGTATGGCGTTACCAGTGTTTCTATGCTGAACAATTTCATGCCAACGTTCACTATACCCGAGATCTTTATAATACTTGTAAATAATATCGTTATAAACTGCCTTTCGACGAATAAATTCCTTTTTACAGCAATCTGTTTTAGTAGTCGAGATTGAAATACATGTTATTTCCCCCGTTATGGCGAATATCAAGCAGAATACCAGCTATAATGTCAATTTTTCATTGCTTCCCACCATCATTTTCTCAACTTTTTAAAATTATGTGTAATTTCTGTAATGGGCATCGAATTATTATTTAAGAAAATACGTGTCATGAAAACAATAAAATAAGAATTTCATGAGTTGAAATATTTGAACACACTTTTATCTACATGTTGGCCACCAGCCTTGACTGCCCTCTGCCGACGTCGCCATAAACTAATCTCTTTCGTAATGTCGGTCACGAATAACCATCTGACGAATTTCTGATTTACAGTTATGAAATATTCTTGAATACGTATTTCCAACTCTACAGTTGTTTATATTAAAGCCCACAATGCACCAGCAATTTCTCATATAGATTAACTGCATCAAAACAAACATCGAATTGAGGTTATGTTTTGGAACAAACTGTTTTTCATGCCGCATGATAAATTAGCATGACAAGGTTAGTGCCTCAATGCGCAGGTTTCATTCTAAGATGGGTATTGGAAATAAATTTACGGTTAACAGATTATGCTATTACCCATTATCCTCTGCGCATACGTGATCCTAACCTAAAAAAGTAAATTAATGTGGATGCAGTGGGTACCAAACTGACCCTAACATTTCCTAATATTTACATAAATTCAGAAAAGCTATCAATTATTCACACTGATTTACCTCTGAAACGTTGGTAAACATGGACCAGACTATACAGCGCAACAACCCAGAAGACAGAAATCTTCGAGAATAAATACTTTCACATTCATAAAAATTTATACTGTACCAATGGATGAAAAACAAATTAGTGAACCACAATGAAGGAAGAGTAAATCACAAAAGAAAAGCACAAGTAGATTACAGATAATATTCTAAACAAATACAAACAATTTTGCTACAACTGTAATAAATAAATGCTCATGTATGCATGGTAAAGGTGATCCATAAAAAATTTCCCTTTATGTATAGACAAGCACATAGTTGGGAAGTTTTAATGGTACATCGCGTTTCAACCGGGATAACTTAAATGTTCCTATTCACTAAACTTGCTTTTACTCCAGAGTAGAATATTCTTTTTCAAACTCCAATCTCTGTTTACCGAGCGCATTCACTAAGGACGTTATTAAAGGGTGTGAAAATTTGCCGCTGGTCGAGTCAAAAAATTCCTGTAAGCCGCGTGGTCTATTTTCTGCTTTTTCATACTCGAAGGCCTGCAGAATCATATCAAACCTGTCTAACTCTTTGACTAATCTTGCTTCCGGAGTCTTCTGTTCTTCATACTCCTGTCAAGTGCACGTTCAAAAATTAGTAAAAACAACGGCCCAAAAGGATTTTATAAAGTTTTGTCAAAATTAAATATTCTAATCATATACAACCACTGTTCCATTTAACTGTAAAAATCTTTACAACACTGAGGTACGTAACAGTCGTGCTAAAGTCCCTGGCGATCGGAAAGAAAAATAAATCGGGGAAACAACATCGAGATATTTAACTTCGAAACTACAATTAGTTCTTATAGAAATTGCAGTTCCCCACTTAATGGTACCTGCACCTCATCATGGTGGTGGGGCTTGAGTACCTCAGTGGCGGTAGCGTAGCTACTGGTAGGGCGTCCCTAGCCAGATTGGTCGAGGGGGAGAGGTCAGACTAAGACAGGTACCCTGGTCCTCCAGGTTGGGGGTTGGTCGCAAGGCTAACAACCTTGCACCGTAAAAATGAAGATGTTTCGTAACCTCGATCAAAGCCTCGGACAGACGGACCTAACAGAGGAGAATTGAGGAGGCCAGGGCCCGAATACGGACCGGACAGCCACAGAAGAAGAAAAATTGCAGTTCATCTTAATGTCTCTGTGCACACAACACGTGTAACATGCATAAATGTCAGTATACCGATTACACTGATAGTGGATGAATCGCTGATTCCTAATTCGAGAAACCAAGTCACAGCAATACAATCATTGCTTCTAGTACCAAAATTTAAGTTCAGTTAATTAAAATTCAGATCTTCTTCTTCTTCTTCTATGGCTCTCGGGTCCGTATTCGGTCCATGGCCTCCTCAATTCTCCTCTTCCATTCGGTCCTGTGTTAGGTCCGAATTAAAATTCAGATACAGATTTTTATTACTGCTGATGTGCTTACAGCCGTGAATCATCAAAACAATTTGGTTGATATACGTTCATTAATTAATTATTCAATTAAAAATGTCCACAAATAAGATGCTAACCATTAATTTATGCCTGGTAGAAATTCTTACCTTATACAGACCATAGAGTTCAGCGCCACAAGGGCCCGCCAGCTGTGCCAAATCCTTCATTGCTGCATCTTCTCGCCGATGCTTCTCCTCTGGAGCTACTCCACAGCGCGGAGTGATGTCGCCCACAATGCATTCTGCGAGGTCATGGACCACAGCAAGCTTCAAGCACCTTTTTAAAAAGAAAAAGATGAGGTTCTGGGTCATAACGTTGTGTATACTTCTTGGTAGTTATCGACATTTTTGGAGGGACCTGTCACTGCCATCTTCAAGGCACTCTGGGGTCAACAGGTTTCTCTGAAATGTTGGTAACCATGTATAAGACCACACAGCATCATGTACTGGAATAAAAACAAAGCACAAAATGTAATATGATGCTAACATGTTCTGGACGGCAAAAGTTGAAATTTAAACTGTGTTAAAATCTACTGGATGATCTTTCCATAAATCGTTGGACTTATTCAGGTCCTAGGTTCGATCCCCAGTCTGATCTGGGTGCAGAGTTTACTGCTCAAAGACTGAAGCCTTCATCACTGCCAAAGATAAAACAAAAGTTAAGTACATAATCAGCCCTATGTTCCCAAAAGGAATAAAAGGAATTAACTAACTAACTAACTAAGTACAAAGTAGACTTGAAAGTTAGAACAGTACAATTTCAGAGCTTTGCATTACAAATAGGCTTAAAAGTAAATTGTTACTGTTGCAGATATAATAAAGATCATAACAATTATAAAAAGTATGACAAATGTAAGAACCAACAAGACACCAAATAAATTAGTAAAACAGAATCGCAAGTTAAAGAGACTCAGTGACATGCACAGAACAAATTATGCTACTAGATGCAGCAAAGTATCTTGCTGTGAGTCAGTTACAAACGTCAGACAAAACTGAAATGGTCCATTTAAGAAAATATTTTGGAATTTACTTAGATGGGCTACAAAATTAATATATTCAAAACAGGCCATGTACTGTTGACTACTCACAAGGAATGTTGTCATGTGGGACTGGACCAGTTCAATTACAAAGAAGGAAGCATATGAGATCATGAAAACATTTCCTTTGCAATGCATTTCCCCCTCTTCTCTTCCTTGTGTCTTGCTGTTGTATCAACTCATAACACAACAGCAAACTCTGCATATAGAATTGACTCTCCCTGAATTTCTGTGCCACTCCCTGTGACTTTAAACTCACAAGCATTCAACATTTATATGGCCATGGAATTTGTGAGTTAGGCTCACCTACCTGCAAGAACATTTCAGAGAGAATAACATAAAGTCCAAGATTTTCACAATTTTAAGCTGAGCAGCATTATTAAACTTAATGTGTTTTAAACTGACTCTGACTCACCCAGCCCCTTTCAAAATACTCCAAAAAGCAACAAAATATTTCTTGCCTGGTTTTGTCCACACTGCCCTTATCATCTAGAAGGAAGGTCATAATTCCCATTCTGTACATATGGCCTGCAATACATTCTGGTCCTTCAACTTGATGCAGAACCCAACCAGTTCGTTTTATGTTCTGAAAATATTAAGTCATACACAAGTAGTCTCAGGTACAAACTGTAACAAGTTTCCTTCAAAAGTTCAGGATTTTCAGTTTATTTGCTATATTGGTGTGTCTTCACTGTCCTTATACCATTTTGCTGGCGTTAAGATTTAATCACAAAAAATTATAATCATATATGAGCCAATTTATATCACAATTAACAAATGTGGATGCACTTTGGGCACTGCTGTACATTTAAATTGATACACAATCATATTTAATTCAATATCGTACGGTATGCACAGAAAGAAAACCGACGATTTATTAGCAAGAAGCAGAGAATACAGCAAAAATTCTAGTTGGTGACATTTATTTTAATACCTTAATTCAAAGTTATCTACATAAAATGGTTGCATTCAGAGCTGTAGAGCCTACAGCTATATTTTCCGAATTATTTTATTACAAACGGCAACATTACATTTTTTTGGAGGTTAGATTTGCTTATGCAAAGGAGAGCAAATTAGTTACATCTTAACTGATATCAACAATTTTATCAATTAATTATCAGTTTTACATTTGTTACTACAGTCAGTTTACCTTTAATCTTCCAACTAGATGAAGAAACTCTAGAACATTTGCACAATTTCCTGCAGCCATGATTTTGAATTAATAGCAAAGACTAGTGATCGCAGCCTGTTGATGGCACAGACTATCATCTTCAGCAAAGTCGTCATTTTTCCATAACTAGGTTAGGATAAAAGTCTCATTCTGATGTATGTTATCTCTGCATTTGCGGGCCGTGGTTATAGATGAGCTCTTTTAAACTATTCGTATATCAATTCATAAAATACGAACACAAAAAAGCCTACGCATATTTACACACAAATAAACGCTGACTTAGTTTTGTATAACGTTTTTAATTTTAATAATTAGTGCCCACTCAGGCAATTCGTAATTTTATTAAATGCATCTTAATCATGAGCTACGTCAATGTGGAACAATAACTAATCACAGGAGTACAGAATAACTTATCGTTCAGGCTAATTCCATCCATGTAATTTCTACATAATTTACTTCGTTTATAGCCACGGGCAGGAACTTCCAATACCTGATACTTTATGGGAGCGAAGACTTCTACAGAAATCGTTTGTTACTCCATCATGTAAAGGTACAGTTGTTCCTGGTTTTAAACAAAGCACCATGCCACGTAGACATGTGAGTGAAGGTATGGCTCCACATATTATAAAACTCAAAAATCACTGTAGGCGAGTGGATGGCTTCATGTCCTAACCACTTTACCCCAGAAGAAATAACCCATTTGATAGGATAGTGGGAGAGGACCCCAGAGCTGGTTTGGATATGGTAAACAGAAAAATACTGCCTGCTGGTAATCGACGCCCAGTCTTCCAACCCACGTCTAGTCGCTACTGAGCTACCATGGCTCTTGTCAATTACACAGTATTTAGTGTGTGCGCAGTATTAGAGTTGGTCTCCTCAAATGAAAGTAATTCATTATGTGGATTGGTGCTTATACCAGCTATGTGAACTAAAGGCTTACAAAGCCAAATTACCTTAAAATATTTCAGTCTATACAGTCAAGCCGACAAAAACTATAAATCAATCATACTTCTGTGATACATTCATATGAATACATTTCATTATTACACATGTTACATTTGCCAGAGATATCCTCAAAGTTTTTGTACTATCACCATGTCTTTTACTTATTAAGACATAAACAACATAGAATAATGTAGTCTTCTATGAAAAAAAATACAAATTAACATCAGAAAACCCAATACAAAATGTTTTGTTGCAGAGGTTACCTAAAGTCAAACTATTTTTCTCGTACTTCATCTTAGTTAGGCTAGAGTTCCTCTAATCCCTATTTTTCACACAAGGTCATCATCTTTTCAACTGTAAGGGTTTTCAGGAACATAAAATCTGTCAATGGCAAAGTATTCTAGTGTATTTACTTATATTTATAAACATTATAACTCAGGTTTGTAAAGTTCCATTATATGGAATTCTATCTTGGTGATAATCAAAATGTTTATTTGTTTGTGAAATACAGACCACAAATTCCAAAAGAGCAACTTCAAAAATCAGTTTAGTACTTTCAGAGAAATGTAAAGCGATTCCAATATGAATCCTTATTGTACTAAATTATATGTTTTCTCACATACATACTAGTGCCTGTATTTGAATTCCCACATTTTAATCAAACGGCTTTCAATAGACAACAGAACTGTTAAGAAGACCTCAAACATAAAATTAAAAATTATTTTAATCAATAATATATAATATACACTATATATATTTATTTTTTTATTTATACAAGACAACAATAAAGCATGTGTAAGGCTAGTGCAAAGATACCACAAAAAGCCTTTTTCAGTGTCGGTGTCTTGGTGGATCTTCCACAACAATCGTTCGACACAAAATGTCATATACAGTGCGATTATACCTGAAGAAGTAGAGTGTAAAACAAACTGGAAATAAGAAAGCAAGAATCAAATTCTTAATAAAAGAGCGGGCGAATGCCCAACCCAATCCAAGATCAGTTCCAGGATGAACTGCAACAATATCCATAGGTCTTCCTTCTATACGAGTCACCTTTGTGCAGAGCACAACACGAATTCCCATCACTGTCTTTCCTGGAGTTGCACCTCCAAAATGTCCGTCAATGCCACGTTGCAACCAGAATGTCTGTGAATTAAGTTACATGCATGTATTTACATTATACAGAACACAATTTGAAACAAATTAAGAAATGTAAGAACAGCTAATTTTGAAACATTCCTCTACAGAGTTTCTGTTCATAAATGCTAAGTTTTGATGTTCTCGTATAAATAGCATATGACAGGTGGGGCAATAGAAGGGTCATGAAATCAGTCCAACATGAGATGGCACAGGATAAAAATACTTCTTTTTCTTGAAAATCATAACTCATGAAAATGTCTACTGAATATAAAATCAGTGTTTCCTTTTTCTCTACGACTTCTTTTATGCTGCAAACAGCCTGGTACAGGAAATGGGTAAGTTGCCTAATTTAATGAAGGCAAGAAGAAACACGTCATCTTGCTTGTTGGCAGAAGCAGGTATACAGACATATCAGCTGCTCCCACAGCACATAAAACTAACATATGCTCAACATACATGAACAAATCTTAGTTGTGGACATGCCTAGAAATGAAATTAATTTCCCCATCAAGATCTTCTTTAAACAATTTATTCATTGGGGTTTCCAACTTTCTCTCTTCCATTTCATTCAAAAGTCTCTTTGAGATATTATTTTATTCCATTCTTTCAACATTATCACTACAGCCTGGAATTCTATCTGTAATTCCTTTCTATTATTGTCACTCACCTTTGACCTTTGTTATCCATCCATCATTTGTCTACCTTACAAACAGTATAAATGTGAGAAATAATATCAGTAAGTTATCACCTTCTTATTTTCAATAATTTCTATGTTACAAGCTACATATTCAAAACACAGGCCTAGAGTTTAGACCTTGTAAGTTAATTCAAGAATAGAGGATATAAAGCATAATTTGATTATCCATGTGAAACAATTATTAAAATGTGTGGAAGAGAATGGGATTTAAGAAGTCATTGTCAGAGTTTAAGATATGATATGCTAATATTTAAAGTATTCAGGATGCAAGATACATACTTCAAATGCACATACAACTATCCTGTAAATCAACTCCAGTAACAGAATATCTGATGTCATCTCCAGTGCCATCCTGTAGTCTGTCTTAACAGTTTTTTGTAGCATATCTAGATCATACTTGTCGACATCGCTAAAAAGAAAGATTATAAGTATTATCAGTCCAGATGGGAGGGGACTGGGGGGTGATATATCAAAACATTTCAGCTGTTCCCACAACAAACACAAGGACAATTTAGTTCAAACTGGAGGAAAAGAAAGCTATAAAACATCTCACAACTGATTTACACATATTCTGTGAACAATGGAAATGCATACAGAGTATGTCGCGTCCAACAAACATTTGCTGTATCCCCTGCAACTAATGACCAAATCAAACTGGTACTGGCAATCTATAATGAAAGTTGATTACAAAATCTAATTTTGGTTAGCATCAGTCCAACAAACCTCTACTCCATGGAATGTACAAACTTAATTTAACTACTATCAAAAACAACTCATGGTATAAAAACTTGGTACTTGATACAAAATATGTGACCATCATGTTAGCAAAGATTATTATTCATTAAATAAAAAAAAAAATGCTCACTAACAGGTGTAAATGCTATAGCCAAGTTTGGTAAGATAATGTGATGTGTGATTTATTAATTTAAAGTAACATTATAACAGGCAATTTTCTAGACATACTTCCACTGAGTACTCAGAATGTTTAACAAGAAATATTTAGGCATCACCAACTGGGAAATGGCATACTAGTGCCCAAGTTAAAAATGCCCATACTTCATGCTTAACTAAATACACATTTACCATATTCAGAATCAGAATAAGAATACTCACATTAAATCAAAGTCCACAGCCATAAATGTAACAGCCAGCTTAAAGAAGAATAACATGAAGAAATCTAAGAACTCTGCAATTAACCTCTTCCAGAGAGGAGGAATTCTATACTCAATACCTAAATGAAGAAAATTAAAACCTAGTAAATTAAAAGGAAACAGTGACATATAATTTGATATATGATCATGTAACATTAAAGTTGTTTTTTTAAACATTCAACACTAACCTTCCTCTGCAACTGCATGTTGCTGATGTTGTGTTGGTCTGATCATTGCAACCTGAGGCCTTCGATTGTAAAGAGTATCACTGTTATGCATAAATGCTGTGTATGGAAATACACTAGAACCACTATGACTGCCTCCAAAATGTGGCATATTCATAGCACCAGCATGGGCAAATTGGTTTGTCATTAAAGCATACGGAAATGCTGCTGTAATATTCTGCCACACATAGACATCACGTAACCATTTCTCAAGTGCAATAAAATACTCTGCAGTGTTAAGATGTGTTTCAGATTTGTCTTTGCCATTACCATATCCGCCTGAGAGGCCTGCCTTTAATTCCTCAGCCATTATATGACAGTGACTTCACTTATTTCGTCCTCCGAAGTAAAATTAAAGGAATGAACCTGTTTTTGTAGTTTCTTATTCCTTTACCCAATAACAACTAACACATATATCCGGCTTAATGTATGAAAAGATATGGCACCTGGGTAGAGTTATATATTCGATAAACGTTCAACTTGAGAATATATTAAAAGTGTATTATCAAAATATACGTAACTAATTCACCGAAGTTTTGCTTTTCAAAACCCGTACACTATAACAACCATTTCTTTACTGTAAAGATAACGCAATCCTTTCACTACTCCATATTTAAATAAACGTCAAGTTAGTCTTCATTACTATCTCGATACTACCGATTACCAACATGAGTTCGATTCGCAGTATTGAGAACAGAATCGTACTCGATATTGAGAATAATCGATTCTGAGTTGTATGTGTTTGTCAGTATCTGTAACTCTTTGAAACAAAATGTTCGTAAATATAATGTTTAAAAATGCAATATCTAAAGAACACACGACTCATGTCCACTACAAGGCTCAGTTACTTAATGCTGTTTATACTGAGAATCATTTGAAAAACCTCCATATACGAACCCTAACCACAATTTCTATTTGAAAGGTACTTGCTAGGCAGGAATCAAATTATTCAGTACTCATCCATCTAGCATAAAAATTTTAATTATTGTTTTGTGTCTCATTTGACTGTGTAGAAATTACTTCAACTGAAAATTTGTAAATATCTAGCTACATTGTTATTTATTTATTTAATTTACAGTCTGGGCAAAATGCAGTTCTTATATGGTTTATACCATGCACACTTCTTCTGTAGGAAATGGTCTAGCAGATAAGGTACCATTCATTTGTTTGGCACAGGAGACCCGGGAAATATAACCCTAAATTAATTTTGGCATATTAAGAACAAGATGTTGGACAGTGTTCAACAGTCAACAAACATTCATTGCACTTGAGAAAAAGAAAACCTTACACTTTTCACTGATGAAAGACAATTGACAGACTAGTGTGAGGGCTCTCGTATACTCTAAGGAGCAGAGTCCCTCCAGAGAAGCCAACAATCGCTCAGCCACTTGAAAAATTCCCCAACATTTAATGAAACCCTAAGGTGATGCACTAAATGGAGAGCCTCATGTATGGAGTGGTTTAAGATGTGAGATTCTACCACTAGCCATTCAATTCTTGCTCGCATTATCATCACTTGTGGTGGACAACAGAGAAAAATTTAAAATAAATCAGATATCCATAATATAATACACAGATATAACCTTCATGTGCCTAACACATAACTAACTACATATCAAAAAGTTTTCTATAGGACAATTAAGCTATTCAGTAATCTTCCTTCACACTATAAGAGATCAGAATCACAATAAAGAAGTTTAAGCCAGCACATATCTCCTGTCTCACTCTGTCTACTCAATAGTGGTTATGATTTCTTGTGTTTGCATTAGAAACTGAAATTGTATTTGTGCTCTGACATGTTCTACATTCTTGGCTTGGGCTTGTGAAGGATCTATGAAATTTAAATACATTATATTATATTTATTAAATTACATTAAACAAAAGGTAATCATGGAAGAAATCTATCAAGCTAAAGGTTAACAAAACAAAAAGAAAAGTATGGTAATTAATAGCACTATGCAGTGTATCTATAGTGTGATGATCTGCAATAAAGCACATCAAAAACAGTGAAGAATTTTTGAAAATGGTTATACTTTAGAAATCAGAGGCCATGAAAGAATGATTATGATATGAGAAAAGTTTTTTGTCACTGATTTACAGCATAGAGACAGAGAAAAGTGCAAATGTCACTGGATGATCATGGAAAACCATGCCCTCTGGATCCAATGGGTTATCCACCTCTGTTCTCAATAAATATGTCACACACATTTCATAATCAGTGTTTAATACTTGAATTTTAAATGCACATGTTGTATCTAATATCAAATTAAAACAAATAGTAACTGAATTCAGACATTTCTACATTATATGTACACAGGAAACAGTGAAGTAATATAGGGCACTATACCAAGTTCCACATATGATGTGAAGCCATAATGAATTTCCGATATTTACATTCATTAAGGTTTTCTTATTTTTATATAATATAAATTGGTTGTATAATTTTTCTACTTCATGTAATGAGTGGATTTATTTACAATATATCACTACTTTATATGAACCCACTGCTTCTATTGTGTGAAATCTTTGACAGTATGAAATGTACTTGTATGTATGTATGGTATTATTATGACTTATTCCACATCCTATGTCATCTAACTAAGTTAAAAATGTGTAGAATGTAATAAGATCTATGTGTGGATAGCTTGTCAGAGATTATTCCATTAAAAAGTACTTCTTGCACAGAACAGTAGATACAGGTTTGATCATATTCATATGCATTTCTCAAAAACAGATATAATCTGAGTTAACATAACCAATCATATGCTTCATATTACTTTTTCAGATTCCTTAGACATGACACCATGAATGATTTATACGAATTTAAGCTCCAGCATGTTGGATGATACACAGAAGTTCTGAATATTGCAAAAACTAGGTAGGCTTTATTTACAATTCACAATGTTGCCTCTTGTTGGCTACAGAATATCAAACAAAATTCTACTGTCAATCATACACAGAGTTCTTCTACTTATAATATTGATCCAGATATATTCCGTATTCTTTACAAAATAGCTTTTTAATATCATTTGCATAACAGAAACTTTCATTGGTTTTTTTCATACAAATTCTCATTCAAATTCTTAGGTGAGTATTCAGTGCACAGACAACTTAGAACATTTCTCATAATTCACAGTTAACCCAAGGTAAGAACTTTCAAAGTTTGTCATGCTTTCAGCTGTAATCACAGACTTAAAACTGGCACCACAAAAGTTACAACATTTATGCCTTAGTCTCCAAAGTACCCTCAGCATTATCAAATGTAAAAATTGGGTGCAATTATTTGAGCAAGGCTCTGCTTAGTCAAACAGGCTGAGGTATCCAAACAGTAATATCTTTATCCAAAGAAACATATCCTGTTTGTAATCCTCAGAACACTGGTTGAAGGTATAATCCTAAATAACTCTGTATCACTGTTAAAGTACATTGCACCTAAACACAGTATCTTGAATATGAAGTGACAATTTTCATTTAACATATGGATGGGACAAACATCTATTATTTTCTGGTATTGCAAAACCAAATTTTAAAACCAAAACACTCTGCATGTTTGCCTACTAGCAGGTGCTGGTTTCACACCTCGTATCTTGGACAGGAACTGTGTCTGGACACACAGACTGTTTCTGTACTTCCTTTAGGTGACATGACTACCTGTGCAAATTATTTATAGTTTTGAAACAACCTGTGTAAAGGATTGTATTAATTATACAGAACAAAACTGAGTGTCTTACAAAATGGAACAGAACTTTCAGTACTGATATAAAATGATATTTTCAAGTTATAACTATGTTTTTCTGACAGTTTTTAAAAGATTGTAAATATAATATGTCCAAATTGTATAATCTGGCATTTTCCTGTAATGTAAAATGTTTAATACAACTTATGTAATTCGTATGGACCCTATTTTTTACATCAAATTATATTTTAAATTTATGTATCAGTTTTGAAGTGCATACATATTTCACATAAAATGAGATGCATTTATTACTAAAGTTTTGAGTACTTTGCGTGTAGCTATAGAGTTTCATTACACTGTTCAGGACCCATCACATATACACATTCTCCAGTTCACAGTTATGAAATATAACTTCCATTTATTCACTAAATCATGCATCACTAAGTTGCACTATTGCTTTAAACTACATAGCTAGTACTATTTACTTGAGTGCTTCAAAACAACACTACAGCTGTTACATAAACAAATGCAACATAAAATATTGTCTTATTAAAATGGCAATTTGATATATTACGTATTCTAGACCATAAATGTATGTAGGTCATCTGTAATGCTATAAGCATTATGAGGTAGTCATTTATTTTGCTTTGGAAACAATATACTGACCAGCAAAATATGTTAAGTGGCAGTTTGCATTACTTTCCATCATACCGTACTTGCTAAAGCATTCTCCTTTCATTGCAGGAAGAATTAACGTAATGTAATATTGTTTTATATGGACATTCTTATTCATACATTCTGTATCATTGTATAGTATCAGATTTTCTTCTTATAACAGTGAGACTGGAACATCACTTTAACAATAAGTATGTCAGTTATCACTTATTAAATATCTTCTGTGAAGTTGCAGCAACAGTTTGAATTTGCAGGTTACATATTTCACACACATCTTGTAATAAAATACCATTTTTTTAAACTATTGTGCACCTTTAGGCTCTTATCATTTGGCAACTGGGTACAAAACCACACACACAGTATGTTAAAGTTGTTTGGGTAGTTCTTTTAAAGTCAGACAGTTTACGCAAGGTTTCCTTTTACACAGAACAATCACTGCCATAAACATACCTGAGTATGTTTGAAAAAAGGACCCTGAAGAGACCTGTACATAGGAAGTGAAAGGAGGCTGGATAAAACTACAATTGAGAGGGTTCATAATTTATACTCTTCATCAAATATTACAGATATCAAACCAAGAAGGGTGAGATGTGTGGCATACATAATAGGCCTGTTCAAAGGGGAGATAAGAAATATGTACAAAATCAGAAGTGGGAAGACCTGAGGGGGCAACACCAATAGGGAGACCTAGGCACATATGGGAGGATAATATTAAAATGGTTCTAAAAACTGGGTGTACTGAGAACCATACAAAATAGATAGTTACCAATTGTTTAAACAGATGGGGCACATAGTTACCATTAGGCTTTAAAGGATTAAACTTTACCTGTTGTATGTATTGAGTGGGGAGACCTAGACATAGATGGGAGGATAATCTCAGGCAGGATCTATGGGAGATAGGAGTTGAAGGAAACTGGATTTTGTTGGCCCAGGACAGGGTCCGGTGGAGGGCTTTGGTTAATTCGGTGATGAACCTTCGGGTTCGGTAAGCCATCTAGTTAGTTAGTTAGTTATATATTGAGTGTAGGTGGGATGTATGCAATAGGTCAGGAATAGGGAACCTTTTCATGTTGGAAGGCCGCATTAATTTAGCTGTAATCAAATAAGGCCGCATTCAAGAAACTTCAATTAGATATACTTAAAAATGTACATTATTTTGTAAAAATCTGACTACTATGTACTTAATAATTTCAAGAAATGAAAACTATTTGTTAATTTTAAAGTTAACTAATCTTGTAATGATTTTGTTGTGTCTGCTTTTTGTTGGAAAGCATTTGAATGTTTGGTTGCAGCATGGAGGTCCGCAATTTCAGTTGATCCTCTAGATGGGTATCCGTCATTTGTGACCTTAAGGGCATCTTGAAAAATGTATTAATAAAAATAAAAGGATTTGTTCTGTAAAATTTGGATTCAGTCAAAAGGCCGCACTTAAGGACCTAGAAGACTGCAGGTTCCCCACCCCTGCTATAGGTGATAGTGGTCTAATTGTCTAATGTACAAACTGTGTGGACTGGATTGAGGAAATTAATTGCTTGTTCGACCTCATCTGTGGGCCACGTCAATAGTCATAGTTTCATCTAACATATACTACCTTGAAGTAAAGTAATCCTGTCCATGGTTTTGTATGATATGATCTTTACATCATCATAACTTTCCTCCGATGACAGCCCTGATAGGACTGAAACATGTCAGGAACATAATAATAAGCAATATAAATATTTAGTACATCAGTTATATCTGGATCGTCTATGGAGCAGTGTTGGCACTTTCTTTTATAGGTGGCTGATACAACCAGTTTATTGCATTAGTATATGTTATTACTAATAATGCAGCTTAAAAATGGTCCCATTTTGTATTATCTTTTCATACCCACTACCATCAATACTGTGGATTAGGTGAAAGATGTTGATTATGGTGGTAGGATGCTACAGAATTAGCCGTGTTTATGATTGAGGTGGAAGCAGGAGATAGCAGCTGATGCTGGGGCGTCTGAGGAGATTGGCGCAAGTCATTCCTAGTTGAGCTGAATCCTTGTGGTGGTGGTGGTGGTCCCCCACACTTCTTTCCACCAACAAAGTTTCCATTTCCTGGCCTTACACCACCACCACCATTACCACTGCTGTGGTAAGAGCTGTATGATGAGTCTGCAGAATCCTGGCGACGATTCACCACCATTCCATACATTGATTCAGGGCGATTTGATCCACCACCAAATTTCCCCACACTTGTGTTGCCTACAGTAGCAGCATTTCCATGGCTAACACCATAAACACCACCATTTTCTCCACGGTTCACATTTGCAATGCCACGTATGCCGTATATACTCTCTGACCGCTGCTGCAGCTGGCTCTGCTGATTCTGAACATTCTGATTGGCTGTGTTATGGTTTTGGCTAAATCTCATTGGGTAAAGAGACTGTGCAGGTACTAGTGGTCCTGGTCGAGGAAGGCCATCACGAGTACACACAGGCCCAGATGGAACTTTGCTGTAGACTGACTGTGATCGATTGAGGTTGGCTCTTGTCAGTGGAGGAGATTTTGCATACAAAGACTTGGTTCCACCATATAAGGACTCGACACGATCGAGCTTACATGGTGGTGCTGAGTACAGACTTGCAGATGTCAGGCTTGGGCAATATGCATTACTGGGACCTGAAACATTAAAATATTCAGATATCTCATAGATTTACTGTTTACAAAAACATCTTAAGTCACATTGTACATTCTGAAATCTTAAACTTTAACACTGTATGTACTGTATATATTGTGAGACTTGAAGTTCTCACAGAGAAGATATCAGTTGGAGTCTTCTAGATTGTGATGCCATGTAGTCTTATGCGTACTTAGTAACATTTCAGAGGAATGTACCTTCTCTACCTGCTGCATCCTAGAAGACAGGCATCTTCATCGATGATCTGAATGAAGGAGTACAGAACTACAAGAGAAATCTCTATGAACACTTTTCAAGACTTTACATATTTAGGCTTTCAAAGTTATTATTAAATTATAAAATGATACAGAGGAACAGGAAGACCCAAGACAAGACAGAAAGATGTATTCAATAGAACAGTGAACAGACTAAAAGGTCTAACCCTTGAAGCAGAATAATATAATGTCAACATGCAAGCCAAGACTTGTCACACCTGTGGGTGAAGCTGGTGTTGGGGGTCCTCCATGATTCCCAGCTGGCCTGTAGATGTCTGCACCACGCAGCGTGTTGTAAGTAGATCCTTCGAATTTTGGTGCTGCAGGCTTGTCCAACTCATCATAAGGATCCTCGTCAGAGTGAATGCTTGAAGAATCTAAAATATACACAAAAACAAAGAAAGCATATTGAGCTTTTCTTGGTTACTATATAAACAAGAAATGAAAATTTCTTTTTTGGAGGGGATAAAAGGTTTAATCACAGATCTGGCTCTAAATATAACCCTGTCTGTAAGTAGTCAGAGTGCTTGTAAATATTTTATATTGATTCATAAGACACCAGATGAAACTGTAATGATAAATCAAAGACTGGTGTGTGCACACATCCAAAAATTTCCACATTTAGTGTTAACTATTTTGTATGCAACATCTCCTGTATATAATATAAGTAAACAAACCTCCGTCAATGGATTCCTTGGGCTGTCGAACGTGTCTTCGTGGATTAAAAATAAATTCATAGATGAGACCAGACACCATTCCTCCAAGCATTGGACCAAACCAATAAACCTACACCAGATCAGAACAAACAGAATATCTCAGTAATACTGCGGCAATTTTGTAATAAAGAAGTGCAGATATGAAGGAATATCTGGTTAATATATCTAAAAATACTAAAGTGACTGATATTAATGAAGGCACACACACAAATTGTATCTGCTTCAGATATGTGAGAATAGATGCACAGAAGAATCAAAAACTTGGCTGTCATAATTCATGTCAGTTACTTTATATTACTAGACTTCTTCTTCTATGACTCTCCGGTCCGTATTCAGCCCATGGCCTCCTCAATTCTCCTCTTCCATTCGGTCCTCTGTTAGGTCCGTCTGTCCGAGGCTTTGATCGAGGTTTTGAAACATCTTCCTTTTTACGGTGCAAGGTTGTTGGCCTTGCGACCAACCCCCAACCTGGAGGACCAGGGTACCTGTCTTAGTCTGACCTCTCCCCCTCGACCAATCTGGCTAGGGAGGCCCTACCAGTAGCTATGCTACCACCACTGAGGTACTCAAGCCCCACCACCACGACAAGGTGCAGGTACCATTAAGTGGTAAGAACTGCAATTGAGAAGGTAAATTGATTTTATTGTTCTTGTGAAGCAATACTTCACTCCAACTGGGAGCCAGGAAGTGACAGTTGAATTCAACTTCATCAGTGTAAGCACTTCTCACGTAAAAGTAATTTTCACCATTAATGTAGTTGAGTCACATGTCTCTACAAAAAACAGACTGTCTTTAGTGATTTGACCAACTGCTCATACTAAATAAAGAAAACTTACCCAATGACTGTCCCACTTGTTCATCACAAATGCTGGGCCTAATGTTCTTGAAGGATTCATAGACGGCATCTGGAATGCAAAAGTAAACCATGTCTTTGCATTGAAATAATGAAAGTGCCATTTTTTACAAGAGTCTAAAAAAAAACATAAAATCCACATGACTAATTTTCTTTTTTTGTTCACTCCCGTTATATGCGCTTTCGCATATCCGCGGCCAAATTTTAAAGCTTGTTACCTGCAGTCGAACTTTCTTCAGGCTTGTCAGAGAATGTGATTCAAGCAATAAGCTTGCATCAAAATGACAGTTATATGTTTCCCGTTGTACGCGTTTTCGTTATACACGACCATTCGCCGGAATGCAGTGTCCCTGCTGCATAACAGGAATCGATTTATGTAAAAGGTTGCTAAAACAACGAAACTCAGGTACTGCTTTAGCACTATAAAATCGGCTGATTGGCTACAATAACAACAAAACAGAAGAGATAGAGAACTCTCTACGAAATGGTTTTATATGTGAGAACTGATGAGAAACACATCCTAAATAAACTGACAAAGACATACATGAACTGTACTCGTACATCGTGAAAGTGACAGTAGATTCTAGTAAGGTACAGCGGTGAGCCGAACGTTCTGCGACTTTTAAAAACTTTAGCTTTCGATAATAAGCCGTGTAGAATGTAGAAAGTGACTATCCAGCGTTTCGGAAAATACTGTATATTTGCTGTCTTCAGGATGAATTCAGAATCCTCCACCATCGATCAGGCAATGAAGCGGGGTGTCATCCAATAAGGACCAACCACGTGGTTATGGAAAAGATGTGATGTTAAAAGCTTAAAGGGGCCAAAGAGACAAAATACGTTCTCGTGGCACGTGAAAAGGAAAACAGGGGGTGATTAAAAAGTTTCAGTGACCACGGGATCAAAAAGAGGTAAGTGGTGGTGTTTCGTGAAGAGTGAATTATACATGAGGACACACTGGCTTTGATATTGGCGAAAAGCAAGGAAGAATACTTTGTTACACGACAGAAGCAGGACAGGTATGGCGAAGCAGCCCGAGTAACGTCGCACACAAACTGACGGAACATCACTTACATTGTATGAATTTTTAAGAGCAGAGAGGGAGCAAGTTACTGAAGTAACACGAGATGGAAATGGTACTGAAGTTGTGGGTGAAGTATTTGCGTGTTGTATCTGAACCCACTGCATTAAAGCGGACCCAGCACTTTGGAACAAGAAGAGTGCATGTGAATTTGGTAATCTGGAAGATGTAACGTATGAAGAAGTATAATTTTAAATGCTAATGCATATGGATGTCAGACTTCTGAAGGAAGAACACGCGAGTTTTTTTTTTTAATACACAGCATACAACTTTGGTACGTTAAAGGGTTTCTGGTTCGATGCGGACCTCTGGTAATAATCTCGAAAATAAAGGAAACGAGAAATGTATGTCTGTTATGAGTCACATGAAGACGAACGCAGAAGTAAATCGAAACACCATGTCTATCGCATATAGACCTAATTTAGATGAACCACTCATGCGTACCGGAACACTGAGATGCTCGTTTCTCCCTTTCGTTTTGGGGAATCTTCAGTAGGAAATTAATCGAAGGCGGGAGTGGATATGGATGAACTGCGTGTCTGCTCCATGAATGTACTTCACATTTCTCGCAGAATTCAAGGAATCCTGCCCGATTTGTCGGTGTAAGAACCAGGATTCAGCAGCTAACTTCAACGTCAGCGCGAACTGCAAGCTGTTACCAAAGACTTAACAAGAACCAATCAAACGTGGTGATAGGATTGTTAGCACTCAGGTGGTCCTGTATTTGAAGCACGCCCCGGGAACCGACAATCCTGACCGTCAGTCTCTCCACATAAATACTCGGATAGTGCCTTAAGAGGAACTTTTCATTTTAGAATATGCAACAGTTAATGCGTCATTAAAGAAGGGAAAATGCAGAAAGAAACAAATGAGAGGAAGAAAGTGGAAGAATAAAGAGATGACACGGAACGCGAATAACAAGTGAATGAATTTAAAAACAAAAAATATTTTAGTCGTATAGGCGCAACAGCTGAAGATCAATAGTTCCCTCTGTGGCTCCCGCACGTCTGACCGAAACTGACAGTACTACCCGGCGAGAGGGGTGTGCCATGAATAACATATCGCTGTCGCAGAATTCGAAAATAAAGCACACGAGCCATTTGAACGAACTTGTAGGACGGCGCGTCCTGGAATTGGTGCTTTGTGGAGAACCACGTGCTTCCACATGCGGTTTTCAGAATTGTTGTGTGTTAAAGAAGAAAAACACAAGACCTCTGGTTCAGTTTAAAGCCTATTTAGAGCAGCGGGTTAATAGACACTTGAACCATGTGGGAAGGAACGGGAAGTGTTACGAAAAAGGGCAGATGGGACAATCAGAAGTGTACGAATAGAGTCCTTTCTTAGGTCCTTCCTACAAAGTGAACAGTGCTTTTCTAAATAGAGTTCTGGTCGAGTTGTTTGCACTCTTGCCAACCACTGTGCCCTGTCCTGGACTGATCAGAATTCAGTCCATATTTTCGTGTCCTAATTTCTTTAAGGTCGATTTTAATAATATTCTCTCATCTAGGCTCACACCTACGCCCGCAAGTGGTTTCTTCTTCTCTTCACTTCATCAGAGTTCTTCGTCTCTCCCATGCGTGCTCTGCGTCAATGAGAACGCCAGATCTACTAATTCCACCACTTTAATAATATATTTAGTCTTCTCAAACTTGCCAGTTTGGCGGGGGTTTAAGAGCCACTCGCCGTAATAAAATACTGTTTCCACACATGAACTATAAATAAAACGCCAGTTCAAACTATAGTAACAGCTGTGCTTGATTTCCTAAAATTAAATCTGAATATAAATTATTGTCTTCTGATATATTCTCTTTAAGGCATGTTCTGTCAGAATAACTGACAGCTAATCTTCAACTGTTTCGTATAGGCCATAATTTATACGCGAAATTATTTGGTCCCTTCCACATTAAAGCCCCAAATGTCCACCCCTGATCTAGAGAGCTTGTTTCCTGTATGTATATGGAGGGAGGGGGGAACAAACTGAGGAGAGGACTTAAGCCACAAACAGTGACGTCACAAAGACGCCATGCTGTAATATCAGGGTCTAATTGTTGTGTTTTTTGTGCCATCTTCCACGACATCACGTGACAGTCTGTCGACCTTACGATATGGTGAGGGCAATTAATTCAGTTCCCCTCATGATGTTAGAATGGGCAGACATTCGGTCAGAGCCCCTGACAAACCATCAGACGCGTAGATGGTCAAGAAATTCCTGTCTTTTATTGAACCCGAAGGTTCATCACCGTGTTTACAGCAGCCCGTCAGTGGTTACTATCTTTAGCCAGATGAATCCAATCAACACTGTAACATACTGGGGGGGGACTGCCTCACCTGGCACCTGGCATGCACGGCACGCAACAATGAAGACGACAACAAAGAAAGGAAAGAGTACAAGATAATTATTATGTTGAGATGCTTCTTACTAGACGGTGACCGAGCGCATCCTCCATTTCGGTTCATTCTTCATCATGTTACTGATCATTTTATTGCAGCTTTGCGGTGATAATGTAATGTCATGGATAGGTTTTTGTCTGCCACTGAGAATTTTTGTCACAATCCAGAGCAGGGAAAGCACAGTTGTCATGCTATTCTCGAAAAGGTTTGAGAAATGATCGATTCATCATTAATATATTTAGACACTGTACACTGTAGGGTGTTTTTGATTCACACGACGTTTCGGGAGTTGACCCTACTCCCGTCTTGATGCGAATGGTTGTCACCAGTATTAAAATAAAAAATAATCAATAGTAAATCTCTGAGTATCATAATAACCAATCATCTGAAGCCTTGTGTAGAGCAAACTCCCGAAACGTCGAATATATTTCTGTCCAAAAGCTCTCCTGTTCTTAAACACGCTCAATACACGCTAGTCTTGTAAATGTTTTCCGACGTTTCAGAGGTCAATGCCGTCTCCATCATCATCGCCCTGATGATTATGAAGGTAGCAAGAACCTCTGAAACGTCGGTAAACTTCTGCCAGACTACACGGCGCAACAACCCAGAAGACAGCCATCTTAGGTTAAGTTTTAGTTTAGGTTTCTAAACAGGACACTGGAAGACAGAATTGTAGAAGGCCTCTGCACATGCACAGCCGGCTTCCCTCAAATGTGCCAATATTCTGAGACGGAACTGTACGCGAAGAACCGGTAGGGAGAACCACCTGCCGTCTACGTAATCATTTTTTTTTGTCTTGTCTTCCTTCCCACTTCATTCAACTCCTGGCTTCGCCCTGTCCGGCTCTACAAATCTTACCTACTTCGGCTAATCTATTTCAAACCACGCGAAGTCTTCATGTAACAACTTTGCCACGACCGTCACCCGGCCTTGTTTTCCGAATCTTCTTCAATGTAAAACCTAACTAAATGTTGCATATTCTTCTTTAAACAGCTGATGGTCGCTTGTCTGGTCATGACACTTTACGTATTTTATTGAATCCGAAAGCTCATTACCTGTCTTCGCAAGAACTCGACACAGAAGTCCACATTCTCGTATACTGTCCCTTCAAGATAAATCTTTCTTTTGTTGCGTGTTGGCAAATAAAATTTGCAGAAATGAACTCAGCTTCGCCCTGTCTGCCTGTCCTTATCAAACAACAATACTGGAAACAACATGAAGACATGCATTTGTTTCTGCGAGTCAAACTGACTGGGTGGTGAGTTCCCGTATGAAGAATTTTGCATGCGGGTATCCTCAAATTAGGAATTCACAGGCAGCTGCGCACCGCGTGGGATTTGCTCCAAACACAACCCCTCCCCCCTCATTCACCCAGGAAAAATCTGACGCCACTGGTGTCGCAGAGAACAAAGGTCAAAATCCGGCGAGATCGCCAAAATTCTTCTGTTACAAGTAATCATCGTAACTTATTAACATTATCGTCCCATCTTCGACCAATCTCCCAAATGCCCTCTTCCCTTTGCGGGTTCAAATAAAAAAAATTGCCCGAAATCTTCACCGCTCTCATGCGTAATTGTGAAGCTCCTCACGCAATTCTGCTCAACCTGGTGTTACTCCATCCCTCTTAGGACTTGGATATAATTAGACGTTTCACAATGGAATATTTACCGACACCAGAGTGCAGGCTAG